AAGTTCCCTGTGCAGCAGCCGCCCAGCAAACTATCAATTGCTGGCAGTTCAGCTGTCGTCCCCTCACTGCCATGTGCTGCTCCTGCCCTCTGTCTTGGAGCTGCTCTTCGGAGCCTCCTGCTTGCTGTGCAAGGGTGGTGGGGGGGAGAAGAGGGAGCCTAATGTCAGGGTGTCTCCCTCCCCCCTGCTCCTGCACCCCACTTACCCCATTTCCAAAGAGCAGGGGGGGACACACGACAGGGCTCAGGACAGAGGGAGCTTGCTGGCAGGAGCTGCTGTCTCAACTTGCTGATCTATTTTAAAAGGCAGTGTACTTCCAGTGGGGTCAGCATACTTAAAGGGGCAATGCGCGTCTCTCTCTGTCTCACAGTGTCTCTCTGTCTACCATGCTGTCTCCCCTCCCTCCATTCGTGCTGCCTGTTAGAGTGTGAGGCTAAATTAACAACAATGGGTTAACCCTTGAGGGCTCAGCCGATTGCTAGTTCATCATTTAGCAGTAAGGCATTCCCTGGGAAATATCCTACCCTCTGACTTCACCACCTCAACCAAGCTTCACAATCATCATCGTGGTGTACCAGTATTAAATTGTTTAAAACTTATACTGTGTGTGTGTGTATATTTATTAGTCTTTTGTCTGGTAAAAAAAATTCCCTGGAACCTAACCCCCCCCCATTTACATTAATTCTTATGGGGGAAATTGGATTTGCTTAACATCGTTTCACTTAAAGTCACATTTTTCAGGAACATAACTACAACATTAAGCGAGGAGTTACTGTAATTATATTTCCCTTTCTTTGTAAAGCAGTTTGAGAGGTATGAATGAAAGGCACTATTCTAGTATTTTTAGCTAACCATGGTCAGAAAGGAAATTAAACTGAATATTCTAGAGGGCACTGAGCACTGGCCTCAGAATGGGACTAAACAGTCAATGCTTCAAAAAATCTTCGAGAACTAGGACAGTTGCAGCTTGTGCCATGCGACAGGAAATCCAGTCAATATGATATTCTTAGAGAAGGCTCGTTATCCCCCTTCTCACTTGACATCCAGATGTCCACATGTTCTCATCTTAAACCTGCATGGAAGTGAATGTTCTTTCACGTTATATTAGCAATACTCAGTTTCAAAGATTAAAAGTTTTAACTACTTTACAACTTTCATCTTTAGTTTTTTCTGTCAGTCACAAAATTATTTTATTCCTAAAACTGCCATCTGCTGCAATGAGAAATATTTGAGCTACCAAAAAACAATGTGAGTACATTGAGTATACCTATTCCAAAATTTCAGGATCATCTTCCCAAAAGAGCATGCGAAATATGTCTCATAATATTTTCAGGAGGTTGGTTTCTGAATTTAAAACTTAGGAAGGTTTCTGAACTGGCACCCAGCCACACTCCAAATATGTGAATTGTAGTACTCTCTTTCTGAGAAAAAAGATTATCCACTACACCCATATGTGCTACAATATCTAGACAAGACCTAACTGTTTGAAGTAGGGGTCTTTATTCTTTATTCTGCATTAACTAGCTTTTATCAGTTTAAACTCAATCCACTCTTGCGGTTACCCTGATAAGAGGCCTTGCGCAGGGGAGAGAGAATTTATTCTACGTTCACTGAAGGAAATGCTTGGCTCCAGAAAGTGGGGTTTTTGAATGTCTGAATAATTTATTAAATAAATAGATTAAAGAGGAGAGAAAAGAGTGTTTTAAGAGGTAATTTCCATCTTCTCCTACAAGTGACTCAGATCAAGGACTTGAGGACACCTTCCTTATCCCACATAGTCTGAAAAATTAGGGGCTTCTAATATATATCAAACAGTATGCAGAATCCACTCTGTGGACTATTTCCTTCACGAACCAAAACAAAACCCTCTCTGCCCAATGTCCAAGCACTGGTTCCTGTCATATTTGTTGATCCCTACCGTACAATGACCAAGTCATGGCAGACATAAGAAGCAACTGGTTGTGGTCACACAACATCTTGCATTTCCCCTAGCTATTTCATTGGTCACCCTGTCTGCCTCATTGCATGTTAATGGTCAGTCAAGAAATCCTAAGGGTAAACAACAACTTCTTCAAACGACTTCTACCAAAGGAGACTTACTAATGCTTTTAATAAATAGTAATAATAAATTAATGGAGATATCCTATCTCCTAGAACTGGAAGGGACCTTGAAAGGTCATCGAGTCCAGCCCCCTGCCTTCACTAGCAGGACCAAGTACTGATTTTGCCCCAAGTGGCCCCCTCAAGGACTGAACTCACAACCCTGGGTTTAGTAGGCCAATGCTCAAACCACTGAGCTATCCCTCCCCCCTTTCAAAGGGCCTGATCCAAGGCCATTAGAGCAGGAGTTCTAACAGCAAAATTTTTGGTGACCTCAGAGTGCAGCCACTAACTCTTGCTGGTGGCCGCACTGACACTTTTTCCTAAAATACTTAATTTTAGGAAAAAATAATAAATAAATATGCACATATACATGTCCAAATCATTGCAATTTATTTATGTAGGGGTTTTTTTGCAAACTCAATAACAAAAGTAATGTACAATTGCCTCTATTCTTTACTGGACCTAAACAGAATAGAAACACAAATAAGGTGCTTTGCATGTTTTGCCTTTTTTTGGTTGATTTTTTTTTAAAGACGTGCTAGCTAGTAAAATCTGCTACTGTGAAAAGTGATATTTCTGTATTTGTTAATATCACTTTTCACAGCAGACTTACTCAGCCTCGGCAAGCTGAGGGACAAATTAAGCCCTAGATGGGGAGGTGGGAAGGGAGGCGGGCAAGGCCAGGGACGATGGGAAGGTGAGCCCAGGGTTGGAGCCTGAAGTCCTGCGGCTGGGGGATGGAGTCCAACACCACATGGCCAGAGCCTGCCACCCACCACCCCAGGGCCGAAGCCTGAACCCCACCGCCCCCAGGATGGTGGGGAACTCACACTGGTTGCCTACTCCTACTGTGTTTGTGGTTCCAGAAGAGGGCAAGGTCCAGCCCCTGCTGGTGGCCCTGGGGAGGGGCGGCTGCTTTGCCCCTCCCCATATCACCATCCAGGAGGCTGTGGCCACAAGAAAAGCCCCTGGTGGATGCATTTGAGAAATGCTGCATTAGAGTCAGTAGAAGTATTTCCACTCACTTCAATGAGCTTTGGCACTAGGTCTTTCTTCCCAAGCAGGGAACTACACTTAGCCTTGATACTCAAGGTGTCAAGAAAAAGAATAGTAAAATCATTCAAGTGGAGCATGTTACACTGCATTTCTACACAAGGATGAGGAGGATGAAGACGCGCTAAGAAGTTATTGGAAATCTACCTTCCTTCCACTCTGAAATTCAGATAAATGCCTCATGGCACTCTTGATACCTTGAGACAGGGAAAATTAGGATTCCGACCAAGCCATCCTTACAAGTCATTTTTTTCAGGTCTCCCCTCTTAAAATAAATCAACAGGGCCCACAGCCATCAAACCCTATACTAGACCTCTCGCACTGGTCCAAAGAGCTGCCAAGTCTCATATCACCTCTAATTCCTGATCCCTAGTTCAAAGATGAACTGCAAATCAAATAGCTATTTTGATTTTGTCCTTTATGATATGAAGACTTCTTCATTTATTTTTTAATTAAAAAACAAGGAGAAATTAAAAGTAGCAGGTCCTCATCTCTGCCTCTTTGTGTCAGCAAGATCTTTGGAGCAAAAAAGATAGGGGATGTTGTGTCAGACTAAAACTCAAGACATTAAAGTTGGAAATAGTCATTGTACCCCAAGCAAGAGCAATTTCATGATCTAACCATCATGAATATTACTAAGAGTCCAAACTAGACCCTCTCCCCAGTATTGCTTTCCATGGTTTGCTTTGTAATAACCTACGGTTAATGCCAGTGAAAGGAATAACTAAATATTATTCAGATTTCACTAAGTTAGGAACTATAACAAAACTACGTTAGTAAATGAAGTGAAAAATCAGAGTTTACAGTCTGGTATTTTAGACATCCTTCAGACACCCCTCAGACTTTCCTTAAATTTTTTTGAAACTTTTGTACTGAAAACAAATGAGAAAATTACTGTATCTATTATTCCAAGTGGAAAGCAACCATGAGTTATCTGATACCACCTCTGCTGGTACAAATCTTATTCCTAAGAATGAAATGTTCTAGCTAAGTATAACCTTGGAAGAAGTTTCTGACTAGATAAGGGACACATATTAACTTGATACTTGTGCCCAGTGGAAAAGAGAGAACTAGATTACAAGACACGAATTCTGTAAAGTTTGCTAGCTAAAGTCTGTGTCACCTCTCAGGAAATCACCTATGTCTATTTGGTTAGCTAGGATTAAAATCTGATAAACACTTTTTTGGGTTTAAAAAGCAAGCTTCTTCACAGTCTTTGTATTCTTGTTGAGTGTGCAACCACCAGTCTGTAGCATATTCTTAATGCTAATTTGGCTTTCGCAGTGGAAAAAACAGACCATACATGATGTCATTAGCAATGTAGTGCAAACAAAACAAATAGAGGTGTTAAAAAAAAGAAGTTGTAAAAAGAAGCAACACAACATCAAAATACAGTGAAGAATGGCATCTGAAATGTAAAGTTGTCACAGCTACCAAATAGTATCCTGAATCGAACACATTTTCTAACTCATGTAAAGAATCTTTAGTCATTAGTCATCACATTGCTATTCATTGTTTTCACTGGAGATGTCAGTCTCAAATTTCCTTAATTAAACCATGTACAACTGCTCTATTTACTTGCTGGTGTCAGTATTTTTTTTTTTCTTTCTTTTTTTTTTTTAATGATTGCAATAACACATCCAGTCTCTCTCCTGCTGAGAAATTTTCCTCTGAGCTAAAACCTGGCACAGATACTGAATGCAACAATGTTTTATTTTTCCTTCCCAAATTGTAATAGCAGTATAATTTTCAGTGCTTAGACTAGTTCAAAGGTATACTCTTTGCTACCACTTATCTGAACATTATCAAAAAATATTGGTAAAGGTGCATGCAGTGAACTGTACCTCAGACTCGCCACATTCAGAAGGTGTATCCTTGTGTATAGCCATCTGATACTTGGCAAATAAAGTAGCTGACTGGCTGAAGGATGAATTGAACTGTGGGTCTTCAAAGGAGACAGGTACTAACCTCACCTTCAGAGCAAGGAAAATACAAGCAAAATATTTAAATGCACCTAATCAGATTATATGCTCCTGAAGGTAAGGCTAGTGGAAGATCTCCTCATAGCAATTTCAAAGCCGCAGCCATTGGCATCATATCTTAAATGGGGTACGGCAAGTATACCCCATAAGCTTAAAGGATTGTTATATTAAATTATTATAGATATTTTAAATTAGAATTTATATAATGCTGTCATACTGCAGGTACTAATTTATTCTGCCCTCTTATCCTTTGGGAATACAAACAGCACAAAATAACAGACATTTTATTTTGACTGCACAGTTCAGAGAGTGGTTGAAAGTCTTCTTTTTAGAGGCACATCCCCAATACTTGCTACCTAAGTTGCCCTCCTGCCCAGTTTCTGTTTAGCTTCAGAGAAATAATATACCTGGCAAGTTTAACTATTACATGATGTCCATTCATTGTGTGAAATAGTGACAACATGTAATTTAGCTAGAATGTATTGTTTTCCTTTAAACTGGTTTAAATTGTAAGTAGCAAAGAGCTTTATACAAACTCTAGTAAAACCTGAGCAGGCAATTTTTGGCATGTGATAATTATTGCACACACATTTTGGTTCATATTATGCTTGCCTTCCTCATGTAAGGACTCACATCTAAATCAATGAAACTCTACTTCAGGATTTACCCCTCTGAAATGCTGAATATGTATATGGGGGTCCTCATATTAGTATCTGAGTGCCTCCCACAGTCCACCTCTCCTGCTCCCCTATGGCTTTACTGTATAGTTCTTCCAAATGTTCTGAACCATGCCCATGATTTCTTCATTTTTTTGTCTGCAATAAAGTTTACATATTTGTGGCACCTACAATAAGATACCAAAAACAGCTTGCACTTCCAGGATGTTGGTTTGGTTTAATTCACCCGTCTCTTGATTTTACATGCTTCCATTAGAGTTACAGGTATATAATGGATATAAAGTCCACATTTGTTTCTCACAGAATCCATCCAAGACATATGAAATGGAGGGGAAGTTGAGGTTTTGCATAAAATTATACTTGGCCTTCTGACCTGACTTATGGTTGGTTTATCAGGTGGGTCCTTGTGAATAGCCATCTGGTAACGTTTATAGACCTGGTAAGATTCCTGAAATGTGGCTTTGAACTGGCAACTTGGTGGAGATGATCTCACTACCCTCACCTTCAGAAGAAGTTAAAGACAGATTCATTATTGCAATATCACATAATTACATACATAAATAAAAGCTGATGAAAGATACCACAAATAGAGAAATTCTGACTTTCTGCAAAACAGATCACAGTTAAAATATCAAACTTAAAAGTCTAATTAATAAATCAGGCTTCAACCTTTCAATTTTTTTCAGGTGTGTGTTAGCTAAAAAATTCTACCATGTATCAGATAAATGAAGAAGGTTCTCTTTTATTCTCAGTGCATGAAACTTGAGTTTTTCTAAGTATTAATTTTAAGATAATTAAGCCCTAATATTAGAAATATACAAATATTGTTCAAAAACTAATAAGCCAATAAGTGAAATGCAAGACACTAACTGATCTCCATAATTTAAAAATGTGCTTTTACTGTAATCTCACATCATGCTGAAAAAATGCTAGATGCATTTAAGCCTTGGAAGTCTGAACTCTATACTTTTTGGAGGGAGGCCACTCTTCCCTTGTGGTGATGACAGTAGAACAGTTAGACCTTTTCCTAATTAAAGGAAAAGAAGAGAGGAATCATAAAATCACAGGAATCATAGAAATGTTGGACAGGTCATCTAGTCTAGTCCTCTACACCAATGCAGGACTAAGTATTATCTAGACCATGGGTTCTCAACCTTTTTCTTTCTGAGGCCAACCCAACATGCTATAAAACTCCACAGCCCAGTTGTGCCACAACTGTTTTTCTGCATATAAAAGCCAGGGCTGATGTTATGGGATAGCAAGCAGGGCAATTGCTCAGGCTTCGGCTTCAGCCCCGCGTGGGGCTTCAGCTTTCCACCCTGAGCCCCAGCAAGTTTAACACTGGCCTTGCTTGAAACCTGTTCGCAGCCCCCCCAGGGGGCCATGGACCCCTGGTTGAGAACTGCTGATCTAGACCACCCCAATTACTGTTTGCCTAACCTTTTCTTAAAAGCCTCCAATGATGGAAATTCCACAGCCTCCCTAGGTACTTTGTTCCTGTGCTTAACTACCCTTACAGTTAAGAAGTTTTCCTAATGTCTAACCTAAATCTCCCTTGCTGCAATTTAAGCCCATTACTTCTTGTCCTGTCCGGTCCTCATTTTGTTGCTCTCCTCTGGACTTTCTCCAATTTGTCCACATTTTTCCCAGAACTGGACACAGTACTCTAGCTGAGGCCTTATCAGTGCTGAGTGGAAGAATTACTTCTCATATCTTACTTGCAAAAACATCCCAGAATGATATTTGCTTTTTTTGGAACAGTATTACATTGTTGACTCATATTTAGTTTGTGGTCCCCATTATAATCCCAGATACTTTTCTCCAGTACTCTTTCCTAGGCAATCATTTCTCATTTGCTGTCCCCATTTCCTACCTGTTAGTTGCTTCAGAAATTGGAATTTACTAGTGAGTTACAACAGTAGGCATCCTCATGACCAATTTAAGTAACTGAAATTTTTAGTTTATAGTGAAAATGGCTGCTTCCTAGACTAAAAAAAAAAAAGTGATATCATATAGACCACCTCATCTTCATCCTGTATCTTCAGGAATACTTAAGGGTTCAATTTCAAGGACAGTATGGAAACAATATGATTTCCAGTTCTGGGCAGATTCTGTTGTTGCCTATAAAATCCACCACGACCCATGAAAACTCATGGAATCACCCTTCGGCAGTTGTGCTGGCTCCCTCCTGCAAATCCTCCTAAACTTTTGGCTCCCCTTCCACAGGCCTAGTTTCTTCCTGTCAACTATCCCTCCTTCCTTCTTAATACATAAGTCCTCTCCTACTCTCCTGTAACTTAACTGTATCAGAAAGCTTGGAAGAATGAGCCAGGCTTGTGGGGTTTTTCTTTATTTTTTTTTTTATTTTTATTTTTTATTTAGGCTGTACAAATCAAGCCATTATTTTTCCACCACTGGTGATCTTTTCAACCTATTAGCACAAAGCACTATATTTCTCAACTTCAGTCAATATTATGAATGCTACTGCCCATGGTGGTCAATAACTACCAGGCGCTAGTTTATAAAAGAGGCAAGAAAGTCTTCTATAAGCAATTCTCTGTCTCATATTCCAGGAACAATGTCTGTCCAATTTAAAAACAAACAAAAAGCTTAGAAAGTTCTCAAAACTCAGACTTGCCAGCTGGTAGCCAGTATATTACTAATTCTTTTGTAACTCATTTAATAGAGGATAGTATTGACTGTCATTAAGAAAAAAAATTAGAGATGCAAATTTTGATGAACTGCTATAAATCATTTCAGACGTGCGTTTACAGGAAAGAGTTTTGTACTACACCTTTTCAATTCAGTTGTAAGAACAGGTATTATTTTCCTATTAGATTCATCATCATAGACGGTTAAATATTTATACGCTTTAGAAATTTACATTGCATTTTTCTCTTCATAATGCTCAGCTAATTCTAAGTCTTTCATTTGTAAACTGATTTTATACACCATGATTCAAAGTATTTTGTTAAATGTAGGATTCTCAGCTAGTAAGAGTCCCTGACTGTAAGAGCCAGAGTGCCCTCTAGAGGCCCAGCAAGGCTCTACCTTTGTTTTCTCAGTCATAAGATTTCAAGTGGAAATTTTTTAAAAATGGCTAGGCAATTTATGAGCACATGGTTCTAAATAACTTAGGTACTTTTGAAAATCTCCCTGATAATGTATATTTTGTAGCAAAATATATTTTCAAAAGCTGACAAATTAAGTGCTGGAAATGTAAATAGTATTTATCATTGCTCCAATGCTTTTATTTTAAAAGTGAGCCTTTTCCACTTCAAATGTTTTCACGAGTCTTTTCTTTGAAAGCTGCTTCTAATGGTAGAAATTATTTATCTTATGTATGTGCATAAAAATAAATCAGTAGCAATGTAATTGACAATACCTCTAACTGATGTGTGGCATCATCAGGTAAGGAGACAAAAATGAAGTCTTCAATGGACTTAGGTTGGTTCGCTTTAGATTTAGAGTTTTGAGAGAGTAAAACCTGAGGCTCCACTTGACTTGGAGTGCCTTCAAGTGTGTGTGTCTGGTTCTGAAGAAGCTTGTGCAATTTTCTTTCCTTCCGAATGTCCTTAGCTTTTCGACAGGGCGGCTTGCTCAAATCAGCCCCTTTTCCTAGAAGGACATAAACAAAGAATTAAACAACAAGGTTATATCACAAGAAAAATAGCTATTACATGAAAGGTGGGACAGAAGAGAGTTGGTTACAAACAATACTTTTACAAAAGATGTTGGGTTTTTTTTAATAGCATGATGATTTTTAGCATTTACACAGCATTTAGCTTTTCCACGTTCAGAACATTTTGCAGCCATTAGCTAGGAACCCACATGCCTTAAGGTAAGCCAGACCTAAACTGCTGCAAGATCATTCCTTTCATGGCATCTGACATGGCAAACTAGAAATCCTACGGTAGCGTCACTTAAATTAAAATTTGAGATTTTTAAATGAATTAAACAAAAATACAAATCATTACAGTAGCCCTCACTCATTTTGACATTAAATTCAATTTTACACTGTACCCTGAACTCAGTTTTCAATATGCTGCATATTTTTGTCTAAATGCATAGCTGCATCATATAAATGATAAAGGATTTTAGCTGCTGAGTAGGAAATGGGATGTTTGGCATGGAAGTCAGTTTGAAATCAGAGATAAACACAGCAGGTGGGTGTTTCAGCTAAAATGCTCAGCCAATAAGATGGTTGGTTTCAGAATTAATGTTCCACTGAGACAAATGGGCAGAGCTACACTTTCATGCTTTCTACAGACTCAGGAGGATAATCTAGTTATAACTCATTCATTCACATTTTTATGCTGATATTCACAATCACAAGGACTAAAATACCTATTTATTTTAAATGAAATCTTAAATTCTGTAGCGAAGTTATACTGTAAATGATGGATTCCGTGGTGGCAGAAGTGCAAAATAAACAAGGCCCTGACAATAGCCCCATGATGCAAATATCATTCCCTGTTTAGAGATGGAGAAACTGAGGTAGATGGTTAAAGGTCTTGGCTTAGACCCCAAATCAGTTTCAGAGTCAAGGATACAAATCAAGACTTCCCAATTCCTGACACACACACTGCTTAAATCACCACCACACGTATCCACAAACAAAGGCCCACTCCTATTTAGCTGCATTGTGTAAAACAGTAGTATATCCAAGCAACTAAAAGGATCACCTTGAGGCACTGGAAAGACTTGTCACCACCAACTGAGAATTGATATATTGCATCAGCAACGCAAAGGGCAACCTGACAGAATCATGCACAGGATACAAAGTAGAACGAATTTGTTTCACACTGCCAGGAAACCCTTTGCTACATACATATAGTCATCGCCAATAGCTCTAATATGCAGAGCAGAGAAGAATTAAAGGCCAGGTAAGTGTGTAGTCTGAAGTACTAATAAGCTTGCCTACTTTTAAAAAGGTTTAAATAAACTATATTGCCACCCCATCGTCATCAGTATTTTGAATGTGCATATTGTTACGTCGGCTCTTATTGTTTACTTCTTATGTTTGGTTGTGAAATAGTATTTATTTTTAAAAAGAAGACAAATGTACAAGAGGAATGTGTATGGGAAAGAGTCATTAGTAATAGCTTAAAGATTATCGGACCATATATATTATAACGTAAGTGAGAAAAGCAGTGCTTCACTACTACAAACTGATCACAAATACTGAGTAAAATTTTCAGAAGTGCATAACTGACTTTGGAGTTTAATTCTCATTTCCAGAAGTGGTTGACTTAAAAAATGACTTTCAATGGGACTTACAAAGCTCTAAAGTGCCCTCATCACTTTGAGAATGAGACTTCAATGTTCTTGAAAATTTTACTGTCTGAATATATATCTACAACTCTAAATTATGAAAAAAAACTGTACAATAGTATGTATAATTTCACAATATTTTCTTATATTTCCATTTCTAACATTTCCATTTGTTTCAGAAGCAAATAAATATTCAAAATATCATTCTTCTCTTATTTAAATCATATTGGAAACAGGATAATGTATAGAAGACATTTGGTACAATATTTTACAACAGGTCTCTCTAGAAAATACAGCATTTTGGTATTCTAGTATTTACGTAATTTACAAGATCTGAAAAAACTACCAACCACTCTCACTTCCATTTTATTAAACGTATTTTCTTCTTTAGCAAATGAAAATGGCACATCAGCTGTAATATGTATGATACTGCTACAAAAAAAAAATATATTCTTAGCTTTGTTGTGAAAATCTCACTTACTTTATTTTTATATGTATCATTTAAATTCAGATTTTTTTTTACCTACTGAAGAAACATCTAATACTTATGCTTTACAAACCGAGCTTTTCTTTTCAAAAATAATCAAGCCTTTTAAAGCTTTTTCCAACCATATACAAGCTTTGTACCTGTAAAAACACTTGAAGTAAGACTCATATTGGAGTACCGACGTCAAACAGTTAAAATGGAAAAATCTTACACCTATTAATTATGCCTTTAAGAAAGCATATTCATTTTTAGACATTTGATAGAATGCAGAACATTACATGTATTCATGCAAGTCACAGTTATTAATTCAAAGGGTGTATTCTTAGATGTCACTGGACCCATCATGCTGCAGGAAACACACCAACACATTGTTTACAGTAATTAAAACTCTCCTGATACTTACGGAAATGGGCTAATGCAATTTTTCTCCTGCTTTTCACTGAAAAGGTATTGAAGTATTTCAATACACTTCAAAATTAATATTTTCAATATTAATCATTGTTTAAAGCTGCTAATTTATGACTAGACTCACCGAATTCCTGTTCACCTTCAAATTCTGCCTCTCTTTCCCACTGACACCTTTTCTAAACATTCAGATATGTTACTTTCCTATCTCACATGAAGCTGAACTATATGTCTGAGTTTAAATAAACTATAACAGGCCTATTTCCATTTCTAGTATGAGAGACAATCATTTAAATTTATGCATACCCCTCTGATCCAGAGGTACAAAGGGGCCTTCTACTAGTTCATTTGGTAAAAACGTATATATGGAATGATGCAGAGAAACAAATGAAGAGAAAGTCTCCCTTTGCAGAAATGGTCCCTCTGGAGAGAAAAAACAGAAAAATACTTGAGTCCTGACCCCTTATTAGAATTTTGCTGATTTTCATGGTTGATAGTGAGTCTAAAACCAGTAGCTACATGCTACAGATAAACAGTCTTTCACGAACAAATGTTGAAGGTACATAAATTAAGGCAATACAAATTATAATTTTCCCTTTTGTTCATTAAAAATAATGGGTGCTGAATACTTCCATAACCTAAAGGTTTAAGAATTAACTCACTACTCTCTACCCAAGCTCTACAGATATTGTGCAATGATAAACAGGACTGGTCAAAAAATTTCCATTAAGTTGTGTTATTGTTTTATTGTGGGTGGTGGTAGTAGTTGTGTTATGGTTTTTGATGAAGTCCAATTATGTATACTGGAGAAAACATAAGACTTAGAAAAAGATAATGGAAGAAAATATTCCACTCTTTTAAATCCATTATTTTCTTTACTTAGCTTCATTGGCCAAGATATTGAACCTTTCAAAAGTGACTGATCCTTCAAGTCAGCAGTAATATTTTGGTCTTGGTCCAAGAATTAAATGAAGCAAGACCCAGATCACTTAGCGGGGAAATTCTTGATCTGTAGTCTCATTTCCATTTGCTTTTATACAACAAAATGAACTCAGAACTTAAGGAACTGTAATCTTCCATTTTATAAGTATGATATTGACAATGAGGCAAAAGCTATCAATGTTAGAACACAAGATATGGGGAATATCAATAGTTGGAAAATTAACATTGATTTCATCCAGTTCGAAGAAAGGACAGCTATTTCCTGCGCTTTCCTCATAGGAGCACTTAAACAAAATGTTTAACAAAACATCCTTAAATAAGTTGTATATTCATTACCAGCACCAGTTTGCCTACAGTGAAACACTAATTTTAACTGCTTATGCCAAATGTAAATCTATACATTAAAATGTTTATAGGCCACAAGAGACAGTGTAATGAAGGGATTTTTCCCCAACATTTCAGGTACTGCCTTTCAGAGTCCTTTCATTGTTTTTTATATCTTTCAAATAAGCCAGTGTTACCTGTTAAGTACCACAGACTACTGAGTCCCATGATCTCCTCTGCTTTTGTGAGTGGGCTGTGGGGGGAGAGAGAAACAGAAAGATTGCCAATTCTGCAACAATACTGTCCCTGACTCTGCAGGTACTCTGCAAGGTCCAAGGTCAGAAAGGAACAGGCTGTTGTGTGCTACATTGTCTTCTTCCAAAACTACATGGCAAACTAGTGTAGCTAATGACAGAGTCAGCATTACCTTGTGCATGTTCCATTTCCAGGTCTTAAAACTGGGTTAGTGGCTGTGAAAGATCATTCCTGCTAAAGGGTTGTAAGGGACCAAGAGGGCAGTGCAGAGACAGATTTATTTCTACACCGGAAAGAATAGAGGGCCATTTATTTTTGCAGATTAAACAAAAAAAAACAAAAAAAAAAAAAAAAAAAAAGAGAGAGAGTTGTAGCAAATACTTTATGACAAATTGTTGAAGAAACATTTGGGTGCCATTAGTGTTGTCCTGGAATCAATGCAGTTCAGAATTAGTCGTTGTGACTATTTTGTAAAGAGATTTATCTTTAATTTTGGAAGTATCCTGGACAATCAAATGCCGTCATCAGAAGTGTCAAAGTTATGAAACGTTTCAACTATGGTCACATACACTAGAATAAAAAAAACTAACTAAGCAAGGATAATCTAACCAAAAATTTCTAGCTGTGGATAACCAACTGTAAGGATAAGGCCTTTTCCTGTAGGCACATTCTAAGTTCTGAGACCTTTTTCTGCAGCCATATTAGGAGAGCAGCAGCCATGAGCCAAGAAGCAGAATGGAATCTGAGGATGCGACAGCTAAATTACATTAAAAACAATGTAATATTGGGCTATTAAGAAGGCAATCCTGTCCTAATAGTACCCACCATTACCAGATAAAGAAACAGTTCTTAAGGTGGTTTAAGAAAACTTTGCCTGATAAGCGATTTCTTGCCAGACAGAATGCTATCAACAGTTGTGGTTGTAAAATCC